AAGTAACTTGTTTTTTCTCTCTAGAATCTTGTAAAATATCTTTATCCATAAAGTTAAAGAATTTCTCTAGGACGTGCTTAGGTTTGCGTGTGTGTGTTTTCTTCTTAGTTTTACTTGAAACTTTATTTTCTGTTTTGAGTTATTTCGTCTACTTGGTCTTCAAAACCATTAATGTGGATTTTCACAATGACCACCGTCTCTTCTTCAACTAATCTATTACAACATTTTTAAGTTTGTAAATTATGGCTTTTCCCCCCAGCATCTGGTTGTTATTGTGGGTTTTGCTGTTGCTTTTTTTCTTTCTGGTGCTTAGATTTCTGTAAGTGCTCTTATTATAATATTTTATTTTGGTTCAAGTTTTCCTCTCCAGTCGCCATTGCTCATTTTCATGAGGAGCTTCCTGATCTGTTTGTTTTGCATCTTGTCCCTGTTCCTGCATGCTGGGTGCTGGTAAGCATGGTGTTGCTTTCTTAGGGTGCCTTAAGAAACAGTGGGAAGTCCTGTTAGACTCTAGGGACAAGCTTTTCTCTTCCCTGGTTTACTTAGCTGGCACTCTCACAATATCAGAGAGGAGAAAATGCATCTGTTTAGGTTCCCCCAGCTCCTGAGAGGCCGAGGAAACCAGCTACTCCTGCAAGGCAACATTCACTCAAGGAAGGTCCATGGGAGAGGCAGGTCAGCCTCTCTCTGGCACCACAAAGCCACAGCATTCTTTCTGATCTTCACCACATTCTGAGCTATCATCTGGGCCAAAGGGGAAAAGAACCTGCATCAGCTTTGTTCTTCAGGACCCAAATGGAGTTCTAGATCTCATTTGCACCCTTGGTCACCGCTCCGCTCAGAGGAGGTAAGGAGTTGGCTAGGAGATGGGTGGGTTGAGGAGTCATTCAAGCTACCATCGTGCTGGAATCCTGCACACAGATTTACAGGAAAACTCAGACTGCACCTCTAATGTCCTTTTGTTTCACAAAAGAGGGTAATCCTCGGTAAGGAGATGTTCTAGCATCTGGAATACTTGTATAAAAGATGGACTGGGGCTCATTAGGGAGGTGCAGTGGTGTAAATCAGGGCTTGAGGATCTATTTTCCCACAAACTACATTTGAACTGGCCTTGGACCAGCAATGTCACGAGGCGAGAAGGCAAATCCCAAAGCAGTGGTGAGGAAAGACGAGAGTTTCTGGGACGGGAAGCCCACTGTCAGGGAAGACCCAAGGTGGGTCACACCGAGAATCCATCAGCGAGTGCCCATCTTTGTCAATCTGCCTTCCTCCTTCCCTTCTCTTCTTTGCAAATTTATTCTCTATTTTGATTTCCGGTATGTATAAATACAGACATAATGCTATCTGTTTTTCAAATTTTAAAACATATAATCTTCCTCCCCATTGCCATTCGATAGATGAAGAATAAATGGTGTCTTTTCATTTTAAAATTCTGAAATTCACAACCCCAACACTGGTTACTGACTAACTGGTAAACACTTTGTGTTAAGACTGTCTCAGAGGTGTTCTTTTCGAGCTAACGGGTCTGTGGAACAAAAGTGTTCTTATTTTCAGACATCACCTCATTTCAAAATTTACCCTCATGGCCAAATTCCTTGTTGGAGTTTGGTCAAGTTCTCATTCGGTCAAGAACACTACAGGCGATGGACATAGTGCAGAGAAAAAGGATCTTTTATTTTATCAATTCTCTAAACTGTGGGATGATCTTATGCAGCTGTTTCATAAGAAATGTGTCTCAGACCTGACGGGATAAATTCTCTTCAAAGATGAATCAAAGAAAATAGTATCCAAGAATGTAGAACAAGTCATGGTTACCCTAACCCCATCACACCTACAGAGACCTCCACAGCTGCTAAAAGAGTAACAATTTCCATCACCCAATAAACCACATGCAGAGATTGAAAAAGAAAGAGAGAAAGAGATCTATGTGAGATCCAGTCAAATTACACATTACTGTGAAAATGAAATTATCCCCAGCTTTACAGTATCTAAATATAACATGTAATTAACAATAGTCATCTGCCAGTTAGCAAAGCCATAGAAATGATTAAAATCAACTTTGATAATAGGACCTAAAAATTGGTGGATAAAAATAAAAATATCATATTTCTAGATTTGAATTCTCACATAATTTTATTAATGGGGTCTCTATCATTGCTTTCTTGAGCTGAAGCTGCATTTTCCTGTGTCATTCAAAAAATAAGTGGATGGGGGTTGACAAGTTGTTTTAAAACTCCATGGACAAGCTAAATTAGCATGATTCTTTGGAATTGTTTCAAAGATCTTTGGCTACCACTAATATTTTTAATCTTTCATTTTTATTATGTGTATGATGTCAGAAGCTGTGGCAGGAAGCACATTTTGTCAATTAAATAATTAATCCCACAGCATAATATTCAGTGAGGAAAAATTGACATTTGTCAGGTTCAAAGAAAATGAAAGCCTAGGAGGATTTTTCATTATGCTTGCTCGAGAAAGACATAATCTGATAGCAGAATTTCTGTATTTATTTCTCTCCTACATTATCCCTTCTGCTACAAACATTCCCCACATCAAAGCACAGGGAAGCAAAAGTATTTGCAACGCTTCCTTCTCCTTCATTCTCATCCACCCAATCACAAAATCATGTCAATTTTATTTCTTAAATATGTCTCCAGTCTCCTCACTTCTCTCTATCCATATCATCAAAGTTGGCTAAAATTCACTCCAATAAACCAAAGGGCAATGATTACACTGACTTGTCTGTTTTCTGCTTTGGGAACTGCACAAGGTTAGAACCCTGAACACTATGGTCAGACCGGCCTGGGTGCAAGTCCCAGCATAGCTCTTGCTAGCTACGGGACCTCAGGCCTCTCCAAGCCCGGATGTCTAGGTGTGTGAGAGTAGGATGCCACTGGGACCTCCTTTACAAGGTGACCGAGGGTTAAACGATAGTGCACATAACCTGCTTATTAGCACATTGACTGGAGCGCAGTAGGGAACCAGTGCACGTTAGCTATAAATAGCAGTACATCCTATTTGTGTTTTTAGTACATTCTGATTTATGACATGTCAAGTGAATTGTGCACCATCAGGCAGTGCACTTTTGCTTTTCCTTCCACTTCTGCTCTTAAACCTCTTCTCACTACCCCATTCAGCTGCTTCCAACAAGAGGCCTCCATCTGCCGCCTCGCTCGCTCTCTCTTCCCTATGCCCCCTTTCGTTCTCCTGTCCTTGGCTTGCAAGGAGCTGAGTAATAGTACTATTTGGTCCCCTAAGAGCTTCCGTTCCAGGGTTTCCACAGATGGTACCGCCATGTCATCAACAACAGTGCACTGGATTAACGCTGCTTAGGAGGTGAAAATTTCAGCTCGCTATTTTTAACCTGTTTAAGCATTCTCTGCTCTGCCAAGACGAAATGCTTGCTTGGGGTGGAGATGAGCCTTCTCAGAGCATCACGCCACATGTTCTGCTTTTTTTCTCCTAATAGTATTCCACAATGTATTTTTTTTTTTCCAATAGGGCACTAAACAGTTATTTTTGTTACAAAAAGCAAGACTTCACACTGGGTTCAGACTGCATGCATTTCTACAGTACCTACTCTTTTTTAAATTGGTGAAAAATGTACCCTGATAATCTATGTCATCTGTCAGACAATATAAAAGAAAAAAATTGAGTTTAGAATTATAATACTTTGTACGATGAACTAACATCCCTTGACTTACCAAAGGTACGTATCTCAAATGTGTGTTCTATATATTTCATTAAAAACTGGATTAAAAATGGTAAGCTATTTTGTCTTCTTTCATAAAATTTGATACCTGTAATTAGTAAGGCATGCTTTCGGGGAAAAAACAACCCTCCCTTTAGTAAATCAAATGAGTCTTCTTTGACGTAATCTGGTTTGGGTGAGCGAACGCTATTTCAATCTATCTAGGATGACTCTTTCCACAATGCAGAGAAGAGAAGAACCACGGAAAATGTTCAAACTTTTGAATGATTTATTGCATTATTACTTTTTCTTAAATTTGTTCCTGCTCAATATCAAACTGTTAGTCACACTGTCTGTAAAGTGATTGGAAAAAAAATGAATATATTCTTTATTTTTGAAGATTAATTTATTTTTCCTCGTTTTCTGATTAAATTAGCTAAGGGATGCTAAGTTCTATGTGAATTGACTGTGCAATACAAATGTAAGAGGATTTTATTTTTATTAGTAGTAATCTTGCCCACATCTCAAGACTGTATTAGAAGAAACAAAATATAACTATGTATGCCTAATTTAAAATAAGCTACTGTTTCAAAGTGTGGAAATCAGTAGGTTTAGGATTGTGAAGTAAAGTTGCAGAAGTCATTATTCCACTGGTAGAATATTCAGGAAGAAAACAGAGTATAAAAATGTTCAACAAATATATGCAAACAACCAAACCATAATGGATTATATTATGGGAAACTAGGATGTTTTAAGGTATAACCTTAATGTCCTAGATTGCCTGTGAGAGAGAAAATGGAACCCTTCCATGGCAGGCTCTTGTATAAACAGACATAAACAGATGGGCTGGATGGATCACGAGATGATCCAGAATAAGAATTGTTACTTCCTTAGGAGGGAAAGATGAGATTCCTCATCAACAGTTCCTGTTCTCCTCGCACCAGTTTTAACTCAAAAAACAATGTCTGTGAGCACCTTCAGGAGAGTGTAAGGGAGCCCTAGAGACCTGGGTTTCAAGTTTATGCACAAACACTTGGCCATGTGCAGAATCACAAACCTCACACACAAAATGTGGAGTTGTGGAACGATTCTCTACTTGTGTTGGTACCTGTGTCTGGGGTCAATGTGCCTTAGGTGGCTTTCTACCTTTAATTAAGAATACTATGTGATTATCTACTATCCAAAAATCTGAATCAGAGGATAGGACATCAAACTAAGAAAACAGTCGTGTCACCTTGAGGGGAAACAAAGGACACCTACAAGTTCATGCCATTTGAGTATGCCTTGTTTTCCTAGAACAATGACCTACCTTGTCTGGTGTACTCATCTGCTTCTCTGTGAACCAAATCCTTTACTCTGTTTCCATAAAGCAGCCGTGAGGAGTCATGATCAAAAGCTTTCAAGGTCTCACTGGAACTGTAAGACTTCTGTGTAGGTACCCTACACTCCTCATTGTCTGCTGAGGAATTAGTATACCGCCGTTCTTTCTCTCGTCTGCTCTTGGTCAGGGAGCAATAAGGCCTCCGTTCCTTCACATCCATACTTCATTCCTTCTGTGTGCACATCAGTCCTGGTTGTGACAAATGATGCTCAAAGTTCAATTCCCATTGGCCTCTCTGTAAAGATAAAAGGTTTGCATGATGTCAGCATAACATTCATCTAAAACTGACTACATCCTTCTCAATCTGGAGAACGGTGGAAAGTAATAATATTGCCTATCTAGGAAACTTGCTTTTAATAATAAATGAAAATTTGTGAAATCAGTGTAAAATATCCTCGATTACCAGGAGTTGAGGTACACTTTCCACTAATTTTTCACATTAATACAAAAAAAAAAAAATTAAGCTCAAATTTCACTACAGAAACCAGCTAAAACTTGGCCTCAATATGTTTGTGAAATTTTCCACAATGGAAAAGTTTTCCCTTGCAGCATTTTCTCCATTCACAAATAAATTCCTTTTCTTTTTCTTACAAAAACCTATACTATTTTTATTTCTTTTTCAATTTTTTTTTAAAAGAGCAGGAGCAAACTGAGAACTTCTTAGAAAGGAAACTTTGAAAAATGCATTGAACATTTTATTATTTTTTACAAAGACTTTTCCTTCTGAGGTCACAATTTTCATGTTTTAAGGACATAAACGTCTTGAATTGTGGAAAAAGCTGGTCCTTCCCTCAGACTCCCTCTCCTCAAAATGCATTTTACTCCCTAGAAAATGAGTTTAATCAGCACTTTCCTGATATTTAAGGCAATTCAAGTGGCTAATTTGATGGGGTAGTTTCTTACAACTGCCAGTAGCAAGAATAAGTTAGAAGGAGCAAGGAGAATTGTGTTTCTTTGCTTAGCAATGCTCTTTTTCCTGAATTTGCTGAATTGACAGGGGTGAAGGTGGGCAGAAAAGGCTCTGCTCCCTAAAATGTGGGGCTTAGAAGAGGGACAGCTGCCCAGAGCTAACCCGCATTTTAAATGTCCTCCTCTGTCTTTATTCTTTCTTTTGGTTTTCCTTTTAATCTGAAGGTCCCTGAAGGCCTGTCTTCAGCCATCAGTATTTCCCCCCACTCCACTCCTTCTTTCCTAAATTCATCTTTTGTTTGAGTGATTCCATAATCAACTTGAGACAAATGGTTCCCGGTGGCCCCAGGTCTTCTCTTTGGTTCCACATCCTTAGGGCTGTGACTTCTATTTAGATATTTTCTTCCGCGAAGCATCCCTCTCCCGGAGGGTCTGTCTCTCCCTCTTTTCATCCTTGGCTCTCATGATACACATCACAACACTCTTTAATGTGCTTCCAACGCGGAGTCTTGTAGTCGTTGCTGATTCTCCCATGGTGGCTCTGCTTACATCTACGCTGTCAACAAGTCTTGATTCCTTCTGAGCCACATTCTTACTCTTATACCTCTCACTTTCTAACTTTTGCTTTTCATGCAGCTGTAAGAAGAGCAGTGAGACTCTGAGCTGGAGTGATACAGAGTTCCAGAGCCTATGCTTAGAAACTTGTGGACTGTTCCTCCTGCTACATTTTCACCAAACTACATCCTCCCCTACCCACATTGCCAGTAAAGGTTTACCTCACTTGGGGTTCCATATTGCTCTGCTGTTGATTTGAGCTGGGCTGTTAAAAGTAGTTGCTAATATTTCAGTTGGGTTGTTGAAATGTATCTTGACTAACCTACCTTTTTCTTTTTTTCCATGAATCTGATTTAAAAAAAAACTAGTATATTTCACTGACCCCTTCTGATTCTTTACCCCATTATTCTCTCTACAAATTCTTCCAATAGCTCTATTTTTTTTATAATTTTATTTATTTATTTATTTTTTCCCCCAAAGCCCCAGTAGATAGTTGTATGTCATAGCTGCACATCCTTCTAGTTGCTGCATGTGGGACTTGGCCTCAGCATGGCCGGAGAAGCGGTGCGTCGGTGCGCGCCCGAGATCCAAACCCGGGCCGCCAGCAGCGGAGCACGTGCACTCAACAGCCAAGCCACAGGGCCGGCCCTCAAAAGCTCTTAATAGAAATTGTATTTTTTCTTATTGTAGCTTTCCTCTCAGTTTAAGACAAGACATAATTTCAAGGTACGGTGACAGAGACTATTTTTATACAACAGGATTAAACAACAACACACCAATTCATTCTTTTTATTCCAACAAACAAAAGTTACTTTAGATAAATATTTGTTTAATGACTATTAGTGTGTATGAGGCTCTTTTCTCTGTGCTGAGGATACACCTTTGAATGAAACAATGTCCCTGCCCTCATGGAGCATACATTTAGTGGGGGGAGAAAGTACATTCTTTCTAATATAGTGAATAAATATGTCTGAGTTCAAGGGAAATCTTGTTTCCAAAATAGTCTTGATCTCTTTGGAGGCAAGGCCATATAGACTCTCATAACTAAATGATCATCATAAAGCTCTTAACTGACAAGAAAAATATTATAACTTAAGCATTTTTAGTAATAGAACTTTGAGATTTGAAATCATTGTAAAAGTTCCATTTCTTGCCCTAAGCTGACACCTATTTCAGAATAAATGTTGCTATATACACACATATGTAAACATTTTTATACTTTAAAAATGGACTGATTGAAGCAAGAGAAAATTGCTTTTTTTCCCTGCTGAATTTTTGCTTCAATTCGTTAGAACAGGCTTTGGTCCACCGGCCAAATCTGACCCAACACCCGTTTTTGTATATAAAGTTTTACTGGAACACAGCACATGCATTTGTTTATGTACTGTCCTTGGCTGTGTTCATGCCACAAAGACAGAGTTGAGTGGTTGCAACAGAGACTGTAGTGGGTAGAATTGTGTTTCCCAAAAAGGTATGTTGAAGTCTTAACCCCTAATACCTGTGAATGTGACCTTTTCTGGAAATATGGTCTTTGTAGATACAATCAATCAAGTTAAGACGAGGTCATATTGGATTAGGGTGAGTCTTAAATCCAATGACTGGTGTCTTTATAAGAGAGAGGAGAGGGAGCTATGGATACAGAGGCATACAGACACACAGGAAAGAGGGCAATGTGAGGAAGGAGGCAGAGACTGGAGTGACGGAGCTACAAGCCAAGGAACGCCAACGGTTGCCGGCAACAACCAGAAATTAGTAGAGGGTGTGGAACAGATTCTTCCCTAGTACTGCAGAGGGAGCATGGCCCTGTCAACAGCTTGATTTCATACTTTTTGCCTCTGGAATTGGAAGAATAAATTTCTGGGTTTTTTTTTCTGTTTGTTTTGTTTTATGTGAGGAAGATTAGCTGACATCCATTGCCAATCCTCCTCTTTTTCCTGAAGAACATTGGCCCTGAGCTAACAGCCATGTCCATCTCCCTCTATTTTATATGTGGGATGCCTGCCACAGCATGGCTTGTCAAGTGGTGCGTAGGTCTGCATCCAGGATCCGAACCTGTGAACCCTGGGCCACTGAAGCGGAGTGTGTGAACTTAACCACTACCCACTGGACCGGCCCCTAAATTTCTGTTATTTTAAGCTATCGAGTTCGTGTGATTTGTTATTGCAGCCCTAGGAAACTAATACAGAAATCTTATGGCCTGCAAAGTCTAAACTATTTGTTGTAGTAATTTATCATCATAATATGAACATCATCACTATTAAAGATGTACCCTTGTGGTAATGTTACCAATGTTTATAAATCAATACTAATTAAATGTTAATAAATTAGTAATAAAGAGATAATTTTAGATTGAGCTTTATAGAACATCTCTAGCACCAATTATCTGAGTCTTCTTTATTTATGAAGCAATTCTAAAGTACCATAATAAATCAAAATATAGCATTCAAACATACTATCAAAGACAAAGACATTCTGATCTTAGAGATTCCAAACAATAAAAAGTCCTTTGCATCTGTCTTTCTATTTTTGTGCATAGTTCAAACTCTTCAAGGATTTAATCTGCACTGTAATGTTTTCAATTCCTGATATGCTTCTGATGGAAGTCATTGAGTTCGATATGACTTCAAAAGGCGGTTTTCTGTGTTGTCTCCTGCACTCAAGGCTGAAGATGAGAGGTGGAAAAGTGCAGCTGCTTTAGGAGCACTGAGCTGTGGAAGCCCTTCAATGGTGACTGCACAGTCCCACACAAGGAAGAGGGCTGCGGTGTGCATATTCAGCATAAAGCATTTAATGAACAGGACCTTCGCCGCACCGGTGGGCAAGGCCTTTGAAAAATTAGAAAACTATTAGGAAGAAAGTTGACCAAAAACTTTTGATTGAACTGGCTGCAGCAAATACATGACAATATCAAACTGGTTTGGTTAATTTCATTAGCTCTTTGCAAAACAACTCAGTTACTAACCATAGCACTCCTCTGGAAAATACAGGTGGTCTTACAACAAATTGCATTATTTAGTTATTGGTTTTTGCTCAATATCTTGCAAAGTATTTGAATGAATGAATGAATGGGCAGGCAGTCTCTGACTTATACAGACACTAGACTTAGGGTGATCATATCCTCTATTTCAGATATATTATTTCAACATGCTTTGAAACTTGGCCAGAAAACTTAACATTATTTCATTGTTTCATAAAATGTTTCTAATTAATAACATTACATTGTTTCATAAAATGTTCCTAATTCCAAAGAAACATTTTTTAATTGTGCCTTTAGAAAGTAATCTGATTTTAACTGGAGTTTCTGTATCTATAAAACCCTTGATGTCAATGATTACTATTTGTCAGGCCTATAACAAACATCTCTAAAATCATCTGTACTTCTAAAGTTCCATGAGCTTATGGGTCTATCTAGCAACTGACATAAAAACAAATATCCAAACCCAAAGGATTAAATAACCTGTTGGTCAAACTCACTCATGCTTCCATTGTTATTTATTTTCTGTAAGAATTACAAATTCCTGAATGTTACCTTAAATATTTTCTGCATAGATTGTCCTCTTATCTTCATAATAGTTCGGAAAAGCTCACCCAAAAGAATAAGCAGATTTCAGAGAAATGCTAATTTACCCCAACATATTTCAGATTAAAGATCTAAATTAAGTTCTTTGTACACAATACCAAGAAATTTTTGCCTTTTGTTATTCACAATTCATATTTTCCCTAATAAGTTAGTATTTATGATTTTATTACCAGTTATGTTAATCAAACATTAAATA